TAAAGAAAAGATTATCGTACAGTATTGCATTATAACTATGAACAACAAATGTTTGTGCCTAGCTTATTTACATAGCGAAGAAAAGTGTGCTGAGTTCATCCGCATAAACGACCTGTTCTGTTATGAATAAAAACTGCTACGTGTCCTCTACCTTCCAAAAAAAATTCAGCTCATTTGGTTGAAGATTCATGAAAATATTCAAATTTTTTTCTCCAACTCTAGTGAATTATTGGACACCCTATATATTTTGCTATTAGTATATGAATAGAAGTTTGTGACAGATATGCTTTGAAAGTAGAAATCAAGTTCTATCTAACAAAAAACAAAATTATCTTTCTATCATCTTCTCTTCAAATAGAACAGTCGGATATTTTTCCAGGAACTTTTACAACATCAGTTATATTTCAAACTACCATCAAACAGAGATTAATAAAGAATCACTTTTGTAATGTTGTAGTTTTTCCTTCACTTTGAGTGATTTTTTTTATGATCTCAAAAATTGAAATAAGACCATCCTACTTTTCCTCTTGTTTATTTTTACATTGACCCTCTCTACTCGTCTTTTTTCATGAACCCTCAATGGAAGGTCAGAAAGAAATAAAAGAAATCATATTATTAAAACAATGCATATTATGCAGAACTATTCATGATCCATGTTTATCTTATTTGATAAAAGTAAAATGATTCTCACTTTGAATTTAGACATAATATATTATAGAAAGAAAAGATTTATTTACATTAAGGGAATTTTATTTCTATCTACCGACATACTGATGAAAATGAACTTGTTCGATACAAATCATAAGATAATTTGAAATAGTTATCGTTTAAGAATATTGATGGTCTTACAAAATATTTTCAATATTTATCGATAGGAATTCAAACGATCTATTTTAAATAAATCTTAGAATTCTATATAATATTTAAGGCTTTCTCTGTAATCGGAACAATAAATGCCATATCAGGAAATGGAATTTCTAATCGTATGCAAGGAACTCAACGTGGTGCACAAATTGGTCAATCTCTTATATCAGTTATATTTTATGGATTTGGAATATTCGTCGCTTATCAATATTCTGAAACAGGTTTACGAGTGGTATGTTTTTACTTTTAATAGCTATATTATTCTTATCATATATAATTCAAGTAAAATAATTTTTTTCTAATCGAAGAAAAGAGATATGATTTGAAAAAGTTTTTCGAAGAAAATTTCAATCAAGTTTATTTTAATAAATGATGAGTCAAATTCTATTGTCAAATAAAATAATTTATTTAGATGAATCTCTATAGAAGACATATGTTTGGAAAGTATATTCATCTAAAATATTCTTTTTCATTTCGTTTTAGTCTTTATAAAAAATAAAATATTTGCAAGTATTTTAGATTTATCAATCGAATGAAATAAAAATTAATGATTGTTTCAGTTTATTTAAAGTATAGTTTTATGCAATTGAGATGATAGATCTTCATTAAACTCAATACTTTTTCATTTTTTTTACAATATATATTTGTTTACTAAATAAACTTATTCGGAGTCATATATATATTGATAAAACAAATGAATACCGAGCTGAGACTCATGAGAAAAAAATTAATTTATAAAAAGCGACTGTTGATAGTTAAATATTAAATGAATATAAAATATTAATTGAATTGTTTATCAATAATAGATTTTAATTAAAACAAATATATTTATATTGTAAATCTATAGTTTGCTTGGCTTGGTATAATTGGAATGGTTCTATTTGTTATTGGATTGGGGATTTTCTTGATTCTTCTTCTTCTTGCATCTACTTCTGGCACAAACATAAATAATCACGTTGAAAACAAAAATTTCACCATTGGTCTTTCAATAGGGATTTTCATTATTATTATTTGCAGTGTTTGTTTGATTCTTACAGTAACTAAATTATATTATTCATTTATATTCATTTTATACTTGTATAAATTTTTAGATAATTATTGTAAAGTTGTCCTTCAAATTGGCTAAGCAAATTGAATCAAAAAAGTCTTTAACCATACAACAAATCTAACTTTTCTTTTACTTGACATTATTATCATTTGAACTTCTATTCAATTTGTTTTTGTTTTTGTCGTTTATCATTTATCATATCGTTTTTCTTTTGAAACT